ATGAAATAAAGTTAAATGCTGACCACAAAATATGTAACTATTAAGCAGCATGTTGTATCTAATTTCGTTAATAATTAAATCTTTCAACTAGAAGAAATTCATCTGGACTGTTTTACTGAGACCAATCCAGTTTCGTATGCCTGAAGGAACTGTACGTCGGTGGCACAGCGGTAGAGTGTTCGCTAACCACGCAGGTGGTCCGGGATTCGATCCTCCGCCGATGCACTCCTTCACCAAGAGTGGTAAAGTGGGAAGGCTGGACATGAGGCTAGCAACCCCATCCTGTAAAAATAATCACCACAGCTCCAGAAACTCCAAGCCTTTATCTTGAAGCCCGATGCTCCACTGGGAACGTAAAGGAATAAAGAAAAGACTCATTCCAGCTGAACGGACACAAAGTTAACTGGTGGTGACTAGTTCATTCTGACTGTGAAAAATATAGTAAAATCGTTTAAAGTTATTAACCTTTAAAAGTGATCTAAGTCAATTAAGTATGCCTCTATGGGATTTTTACATGAGTTAAACCATTCACTCAATTTGCTTCAATATCAGTCGACCATTTGTAGTGCTTAGATTGATCACAGTTATACACCTGGGTGTTTCAATTCATAGTGTAATTTAAACCGTATAGAGCAAATAAATTTCTCAGAACTTCGATGTTTAGTGAAACTTTTTTCCTACAAAGCCATTTTACAACATTTTGTTGACTTTTAATTTTGAAGGTAATTGTAAGTGATTACACACTTTGTTTACTATGTCAAACAAAGTGAGGATAAAATCTGATTTTATCATATGTGTGTTTCGGTATTATTTTAATCGTAACTTGTACTTGTTTCGTGTTACAGAATTGTAAAGAAATACTTTTTATTTTATGTGCTCCCAGTAGGAAAATAGGGCTTAAAAACTGAGTGTAAGCGCAATATCGCTTGAAATTAAGTCACGCGTAGATAAAGGCTATCCCGGTCCAGAACAAACAAGAAGCCGGTCACTGTTTCTACGGTACTATTAATAAACAAATCAATTAATATATATACAACAAACCTTAACGGTTTCAAGAGTACAATACACAATGCTTAACAGAAAGCAAGGAACCGCTATCAGAGCGGAATAACGTTAAAGCCAAAATTACGAACTAGCCGGATCAGACACGACCGTTCAGGTAAGCAGTCAGTAGAAGAATGAACCCAAGTAAGAGATAGACAAAGCATAGGCACAAAGACAGAATTTAATTGGCTACTTAACCAATCAATAAATAAGATAAACTCAACAGAATAGTACAAAGTAAGACATGGGGCAGCAAAATAACAGTTCACAAAAATACTCTGATTGGGTCATGAGTTCAACTGTCTGACTAAAAGGATCGAAGTAAAAACACACATACACAGTTAATTAAACAAGGTGGGATAGACACGTTGGGCATGGATAATTGTGTTGCAACAATGCTAGGCTGATCCGGGACAGGTTGACTTGATTTAAGGATGGGAATGGAATTCATCTTACACCGGCCCCCAAAATCCGACTAGGATTTTATGAATCATGGTACACCGTATAACCCTCGTGCCCAGCTCTCTTACTGTTTCCGGATATAAGCAACCGAAGCCATCTACTGCCTTTCTCAACGCGAAGTTCACACAGAAGGGTGATGAAGTTGCCCCGAACGGATGCGCTGTTATCTGAAACTCCTGCGGCTCTTCGTCTAGAAAACCATTTTTCCACCACAGAAATAGAAATGCTCGTCGATCGTCTAGTGGCACTTTCACTTGCATAAACATATCAGCTATGTCCGCGACTACAGCAATAGGCTTTTCTCGAAAGCGCAACACAACACCAACAAGCTCGGTAATCGTATCAGGTCCTTCATATAGCTTATCGTTCAAAGAATAGCCTCTAAAGGTTGCGGCGCAATCTAGAACTATTCTCAGTTTATCTGGCTTTCTCGGTTTCTTTACGGGATGATGTGGAAGATACCACCTCGGGCGATAGTTGACTGCTAGCTGCTCTAGGGGTACCGGAAGGGCATAACCATTTTTTAACATCGTATTTATACCATCCACATATCGTACTGAAAGGTTCTTGTCACGCGATAACTTCCATTTCAGACTGAGTAGCCGATTTATAGCAACCACATAATTATTGTCCGTTACCTTTGCTGGATCTTTCCACGGCAAGGAAATGATGTAATGCCCCTTTTCTAAGACGGTGCTTTGAGTAACCAACTCGATTGCCTTAGGATCTTCGATAGAAAATGAGTGTTCGTTTTCTTCAGTATCCCTAAACTCAGCTTCATATGGCCTTCTGATGTCGTCTTTGATACTCTCTTCGATGATTCGAGCGTAGTTGACATTGTCTCTTTCCGTATTTCCAATTTTTCGTTTGTCGTCCACGGCTAACTTCACAAGCAGCTCGGCCATTTCGACATCATGTCTAGCCTTTAGCAACTTTTCCTTTAACTCTAACTCTAACTCCTGTCGAAGTTGTTTCTCTTTTAGCTGCGCCATTAGTAGCGACGACTTAGCACTAGTTACTCGCGATAATGATGGTTTCGAACTACTGACATGAGAGCCGGGGCACGAAAGGTTATCAACATGATCATTTTTGCAAACGGGGACTTGCCGACTCTCCGACTGCTGCTCCAAAATTTGCTTCCCTGATCTGGTTTGCATTGTTCCAAAGAAAAAATGTATTCTCGACAACGTTGCGTGCTGCCAATTCACCAGTTTCTTCTGGATGAACGTTCAGTACGGGATTTTCTAATTGACGTTGAGTACCGACCAGTTCGGCACGGGCTTTTCTGTTTGACGTCAAGTACTGACCAGTTCAGTACGGTCTATTCCGTCAAGGCGTTCAGTACTGACCAGTTCAGTACGGTCTATTCCGTCAAGGCGTTCAGTACTGACCAGTTCAGTACGGTCTCTTCCGTCAAGGGGCTGATCCGGCAAACTTTAACTCTATACGTTAAGTACTGTAAGCGCAATATCGCTTGAAATTAAGTCACGCGTAGATAAAGGCTATCCCGGTCCAGAACAAACAAGAAGCCGGTCACTGTTTCTACGGTACTATTAATAAACAAATCAATTAATATATATACAACAAACCTTAACGGTTTCAAGAGTACAATACACAATGCTTAACAGAAAGCAAGGAACCGCTATCAGAGCGGAATAACGTTAAAGCCAAAATTACGAACTAGCCGGATCAGACACGACCGTTCAGGTAAGCAGTCAGTAGAAGAATGAACCCAAGTAAGAGATAGACAAAGCATAGGCACAAAGACAGAATTTAATTGGCTACTTAACCAATCAATAAATAAGATAAACTCAACAGAATAGTACAAAGTAAGACATGGGGCAGCAAAATAACAGTTCACAAAAATACTCTGATTGGGTCATGAGTTCAACTGTCTGACTAAAAGGATCGAAGTAAAAACACACATACACAGTTAATTAAACAAGGTGGGATAGACACGTTGGGCATGGATAATTGTGTTGCAACAATGCTAGGCTGATCCGGGACAGGTTGACTTGATTTAAGGATGGGAATGGAATTCATCTTACACTGAGCTTTGAAGTCCCAGTAGCAGTGGTATTTATTTACAAGGTGAAGTTGTTTGCCTCACATCTAAACTTCCTTCTTTATCGGTCTTACTGCTAGCCAAATGAGATCTGGGAGTGCATTGGCCGGGGACAGAAACTTCGACCACCTGCGTCGTTGGTAAGTATTCTACATCTGAACTACCAACGCATGTAGCAGTAGTTTAAAATATCATTATTATCTCCTTAGGTTGCTGGTCGAACATCTCCATTTCATTATGTTTTCTATAGTCGTCTTAAGCTGACTCCACCACTGTCCATAAGCTCGGATCTCCCTCTGACACTGCTTTCTTCATATCACCCTCGGACGCCCAACTCGTCGTTTCTCATTACTGTTCCATTCTGGCCATAACCTGACGCGCGACATTATTCAACGTTCTTCTCAGTTTTTCTTCGGCATATTTGTTGAACTAAGAATTCTTGGTTGCTTCACTGCCTACCATATTTCCTTGTTGCTTATCCTTCTGGGCCACTAGATTTCAGAGAAAAAGCAAAGTGGGAACCTTCTTGCATAAGTTAGTCTAGAAGGGACACTTATAAGTGTTAGGAGAAAAGGAAATTTCCTAGGCAACCCTTTTCACCACATATAGTTGAATTCACTATAGGATAAATATCTGACGGTAGCAAACAATAGAATCCAATAGGCACGTCTACTTATATTTAGCACCCACTGGCTGGATGAATGTATAAACCCAAGTGAATATTAGCGTTCCCAATGAACCTTAAATTTGAAACCAACTGTTTCAGCAAAAAGCCAGATCACTGAGTTAAAGTGTTGATAGATTGCTCGGAGAATGTAGTTTTATGCTACTAATATTTTTAATTTTCACATTTTTTCCTTGAACAATTGAAATGACAAACCTCGACTGGTGTATGCGTACTTTGTTTCGAAACAGAGGTCTTAGTTCCAGGGAAATAAGTGTTACACTTATGGAAATGATTATTAGTCTAATTCAAGATGTACATTCTGTAAAATACCTGGCTAATATCTGATGACAGACAGTACTAACGCATCGGCAAGAAAAGTCAATGTGTTAATGGAGACTAATAAATTCTGTCAAGTAAATGCGAGTTGGGAAATCAAGAAATTTTGTAGTGGTAGAATGTTGGCTACCTACTCACGTGAACCGCGTTCAATTCCAGACTGACCACGCCCAAACCTCACGAAAAATGAAAAAATAAAAACTGCTCAACTAACTGACTGAGCTATCGTCATTTAAGCATAATTTTTCTCTGAGATTAAGGACTCAGACTTTATCACACCAAGAGGATCAAAATCCAACTAAGTCACGTTTCTGTCACATTTTTACCTTAACAAGTCACGAATATCTTTACCCATCAAGAATAATATATTCTTCGAAACTAAAAATATGTTTCTAATTTCAATTCTTTTGTTATCTATATTTTTAGAATGGCGATATAAATAACTGCTATTGTAAAGGTATGGCAGGAGTACTCGCTGCGTATAGACGTTGTTTAACCGACTTGTACTCTTCTGGTCCGATTTTGTTCTCACCGATTATTCGAGAAGTTAGCGAGTAAGTATATCTGGAATTTAATTATATGCAAAAAATTCTCAATTATTGGAAATAATCTGTATTATTATTCCCTCGTGTTCCAGGTGGTTTTTCAGCAGCACAATTCCATTTCATTGTGTTCTCTTCAGTCCTGTAAGCTGGCTCCACGATTTCCCAAAAGCCTTCATTTCTTCCGGCCAACTTGTAAAGTTCCGCTTGATGACCTGGATCACGTTGTCATCCAAAGATCCGCTCAGTATATGCCTATACCATTCCAATTCTCTTCTGGATATTTGTTGGGCAATAAGTTTCTTTTCAGTTCGTTGACTTACTACTGTGTTGTTTATAATCTTCGTCTGGCCAACTGATCTTCAGTATTGGCCAGTAAAGGCAACTTGATATGATTATGAGCAATAGTTTATGCTCGAAACTTCATCAGTTAATATAACTGTACAGCACTATGTGATTTATCGAAATATAATCTTATCCATAATGGAGTAAAGGCAGCTGTTAATAAAATTCCTCACCGAGTGTCTGAACAGCATGAAAGCCCTAAATTAACATTAGTATCGAAAATTCGGATATGGTTCCCTGTGCTGAGTGTTGTAGATCTCCATACTGATTTCAAAGTGATGAACGCTAGTCCTGCTTTTCCAATCTGGATGACTTTGGCACCCTCATCCGTGTCCCCTAGCTGTAGCTGGAACCATGCTTCCTATGTAAATGAAAGGGATGACTCCCTTCAAATTTCTCCCATTAATAGTAGTTGTTGCTTATTGTTGCTGTTTGGTTGTCTTCAACACCTCTATTTTCTCAATGTCCACTTGAAGTCATGTCTTCGTTGACTCTTTTGTCAGTATACTGGTTTTCTACAGGAAGTCTTTGAGTTTGTGTGATATAGACGAATTCCAGATCTTCTAGATTCGTCTTGTCTGTCCAACGTATGTCTATCTATATAAATATGTAAACTTCTGCAGCAAGCGTCTATGAAACCTTGACACAAGAAAATATCAGCGACAATGTCACTTCTAGTCGAAATCATATCTCACATTTGAATTACCATCAACTGTCTTAATTCTGAACTGACTAAGCTGCATCTTAATGAATTCTAACTGGTTGACTCCAACCTGTTGTTCTTGCTAAAGTAAATTCTGTGATTTTTATTATCATTTTATATTTTTATTCACTGATGATTAGCAGTATATTGGGGGATGTATATATTCTATCCTATTTGGGACCGATTATCCGAATGTATCTAAACTTCAATACGTCTTGACTCCTGTCGTTATTCAGTACCAAACAGAATAAGACTTTAGATGGTTGGAGGCAATCGGCAGGAAGCCTTCGACCTAGGTTTCGTGCTAGTTTGCATTCATCAGCAGGGCGTATCTGCAACCTCGAAGGAACTCATGTCCCTTCTGAGATCAAAACCCGCGTCACCAAGTGCTGCAGCCAGAGACGTTACCACTGAGTTATTCGGGCTCGCGATTGACCTCCTGTAGGACTGTATTGGATGCATTTTTTGAATAGCTCAGTGATAACGTCTCTGATGGCAGCAATGGGTGACATGGGTTCAAATCTCAGAAGGGCCATAAGTTCCTTCGAGGTTGCAGATACACCTTGCTGACTGTTGAGTCCCCACTAGCACGAGACTTAGGTCGGGGGCTTCTTGCCGATTGCCTCTAACCATCTAATACAAACAATTCACAGTGCACCGTGATGGCGAGCCACCTAGAATGGTGGCCACATTGCAAGCTTGACTGATAGAATTCAGTCTGCACCGAAGATAGGACTAGACACATTACACTAGTTACTGACTAGTGTCCGATCGAAAAATAATAAGACTTTGGAATTAACTTTAACTTCTTTTCAATTAAAATAACTAATTGGATTTAACAAATTATAACGAATTAGCATATTACGAATCTATAAATTAGTGATTTTGTCTTGATAATCAGTATGTACTTACAGATTGTTCATTTTTGAGATCTAATGATTTCACTTGGATTTTTTCTGGCAACAGTAGTGACTGACTGGTGTTCACACCTCTACAAAAGGAATAGTCAGGAAATCTTTTAAGTAAACTTTGCTAATAATAACAAGGGTGAAATGCAACATTTCAACACCGATGTTCATTGCTTCTAATAACCCAAAATGAAGAAGTTTAATGAATTTTGTTTTGGAATAAGTTGAGAAATCGACTAGTCGAACCTGAGTATCTTAAGTACTGTATATTGTTTATTACAAATATACATTTGAGTCGACAGATTTGTAGAAATTTATCACATTATTATGTCACTGGATGAAAGCTACAACAACACAACATTCGATGTGGACTGAGTAGCTAGAGACGTCTCTTTAAACAGTTCTGGGGTGAGTGTATACGAAGACTTACATATCGATTCCTGGAGTATCACAAGCAAGAATCAGGCACTAATTTTGATTCTCAGTGATTCTGTAACTAGTTTCCTTTAGTGATAATAATTACTTAGATATACCTCCAACGTTTTACCCTGTATTTCTAATGTTATAGGGCAGCAAAAAGAAGTGAAGCGGCGGACAACTATTATGTTCTGCTAATATTAACCAATGGTACAGTCGATGATTGGATAGAAACGAAAAAGGCAGTGATTGAAGTAAGTTTATCTCAACACAGACTATTTTTCATCTTATAATTAGAAATAATCTATCTTATGAATGAAATAACAAGATAGTAATTTGTGCTCCACCTCCAACATACACTTTGTGAGTCGGTGGCACAGCAGTTAGGACGCTCGCCAATCGTGCACATGGTCCCAGGTTCTATTCCCGGCCGATGCACTCCTTTACCTCGCTAAGCCAGTAATAGAACTGGCAAAGAGGGAAGGTTGGGCATGAGACTAGCAACCTCATCCCGTAAAAATAAACACCACTGCTACCGAAACTTCAAGCCAGAGGCTTGAAGCCCTATGTCCCACTGGGAACATGAAGGAATTAAAAAAACTATGCAGAACTGAGTTACGCGATGTATGAATATGAAAACAAGTGTGATTTTTAACCCGAATGTTTCAAAAAAATAAACAATGAGTGACACAAATATAAAACCGAAAAATAAGGGATTCGAACACTCAGCGTGTAAGAAACTCGGTGAAATTGAAACAAATAACTCAGACTTTTCGTTTGGCAGACTGACGTGAACTTTCTCAGGAGTATAATCAAAACTTTTGTGTAGATGTGTCTGAATCAACACTAGTCATCAAAAACAAAATAAACAAAATTGCATGCAACCTGATCAAGATTAGACCAAATAGTTCCATAAAATTATTAATCTTTTTGTTAAACACTGTGAATAGTGTGTACTATGAAATTTACCTTTGTGATATGAATAGATACGAGTACTGCTGTTCGGATTCGATAATATCACCAAAATTTTTGATATGCGTTGATGTCGTCGACACTAATAATAATGTTGCGACTAAAGTTTGATGAGGAAAAGTAATAAATAACTCGTCTGAAAAACAAATACTAGTACTATTTTCTGATCAACTCGGACGCCTACAACCCACACAAATAAGGGCAGATGACGGACTGATTCACGCTAGTTAAAATAATCAATCTTTTGCAATTAAAAGTGTTCTCTGAGCTGGTTGGTTTAGTCGCGAAGCTTTCGTCGTCCTTCTGGACAACATCTTCGGCGCCATATTTAGCACAAAGTGAAATGATTTAAATTTCTTCATGAGTGATATAATTGCGTCTCCCAGTAACCATCTTTACATATGTTTTGATCATTTTTTATTGACTTGAATTTTAAACTTTCTGGTCACCTGATTTACTTTTTATTAGTTGGTATATTTCGTCTTTAGTAACGTTCCTGTTAATTGCATTTTTGTTTGAGTACCAGGCTTCTAGGAATTCCCTGGCACTTTTAGTGTTCCCTCTGTCTAAGATTTTGACATTATCCCAGTCAAACTGATGACCATAATTGTCTGTATGCATTGATACTAAAGAATACATATCATGTCTTTTCACGGCTGATTTATCTTCTTGGATTCTGATTCGAAGGGGACGCCCACTTTGGCCGATGTAATGTTTGTTGCAGTTCATACAATTTATTTTGTAGATGGTATTAATTTTATCCCCTTTTTCTGTTGGATCTTTTGGTTTGCATAATATCGAATTAAGGGATTTTAATGGTTTGTGTGCTATATCTATATCTAACTGTTTCAGCACACAAACCATTAAAATCCCTTAATTCGATATTATGCAAACCAAAAGATCCAACAGAAAAAGGGGATAAAATTAATACCATCTACAAAATAAATTGTATGAACTGCAACAAACATTACATCGGCCAAAATGGGCGTCTCCTTCGAATCAGAATCCAAGAACATAAATCAGCCGTGAAAAGACATGATATGTATTCTTTAGTATCAATGCATACAGACAATTATGGACATCACTTTGATTGGGATCATGTCAAAATCTTAAACAGAGGAAACACGAAAAGTGCGAGAGAATTCCTAGAAGCCTGGTACTCAAGCGAAAATGCGATTAACAAACACGTTAATATAGATGAAATATACCAATTAATAAAAAGTAAATCAGGTGACCAAAAAGTTTAAAACCCAAGTCAATAGAAAGTGGTCACTACATATGTAAAGATAGTAACGAGGAGACGCAATTACATCACGCATGAAGAAATTTAAATCATTTCACTTTGTGCTAAATATGGCGCCGAAGATGTTGTCCAGAAGGACGACGAAAGCTTCGCGACTAAACCAACCAGCTCAGAGAACACTTTTAATTGCAAATCATCCACCTGAGCTACAAATCTTCTCTATTATTTCATAATTAATCTTTATTATGCGAAAACGCATCCTATATAAGCTAACTGACAACTAATTATATTTGTTTCATAGGTTTCGGCTTTAAGGTTACAGTAAATATTGCACCTCGGCCGGATGGTTCAATTCTGAGCAGTTTATTTTCAATTTTTAGATTTTTGTCGTGAACTAACACCAGTTAGATTGATCGTTGAAAACAAGGGAGCACTAGACAGCCATTTCGTCATATTTTCGGACTCTTGGGCGGTGCGCACCCACAACCCTTCCATGGATCCAACCTGGAAGCTTGAGGTTACGAGGTCAGGTTCGTTGACCTTCAAGCCACTTGGGAGGGTTCGTGATGAAAACCTAATAATTGTAACTAATCCAAAATCTTCAAAAAATTCTATGATCTAAAAGGTTTACTGATGTCATGATTTCGTCTTATTGAACACAACTGCTCACCATGACACTTATTCTAACTGCTTCCCTCCTTTTCCATCTGCTAAATGTTCCGTCAGTGAGCTCTCCTTGTTACCAAAAGATTTTGCTGGGTTTAATCCCTAGTGGGGTCATTGGCGTGTACCACTGGAGCGTCCCAAACTAGGACGAAACAGCTACGCAGTTCACCCTGGATTTTCAACGTCTGTCTAAATGATGTCAGTTCATGAGCAAACTTTAAACCATTCAACTTATTTCATCGACATTTTTTTATATAAATTATTTAGTAAAATAGATTGACTTTTTGTGAATGAAGTTCAACAAGCCTACATATTCAGGATTACTTCTCAATCTTAACTTGTCATCTAAAAACTGGCTTATGTATTTATTATTCAGCAGTAGAATTAATTCCTATCCACTTAAACTTTGGTCATCGTTCACTAGAAGAATGCTGCCTCGTTTGCTTCTCTTCTTTTTTTAATAGTGTACATTGATGATATTCAATATGCTTAATTTATGAAGTTTTTAATATGTTTGACAATTTCAGTACTGAAATATTTCAAAGTCTATGTTGACGTAACTGACAGTTTGACATGAAAAAAAGCAAGAAAAAACAAACAAAACTTTTTTTCTTCTATATTGAATTACAAATTTCAATGATTAATATAATATTTACATAAATGACTATCTAATATAGGAGATAAGTTGTTGTAAATTATTTGTAATAAATCAGAGATAAGTACATCAATTTTAAGCGACTGTATGAATGATTAATTCATAGCAATACAATAAATTGTACATTGGAATATTCAAGCATTTTGCATAAAGTAGAGTATTCAATAAAAAGAAATTAGGCAAAATTTTAAACTAATATATATACATGGCAAAGTCAAACTTTAAGCACCACCAACTGCCAATTAGCGAATGACCTCGAACGCACTAATCACGTGAAGGAGGCACTTTTGTGTGTGGAATACATATTAGAACAATACATATAAGCGAACAATATTGTTTTCAATTAGATCTTCTTCAGGCTTTACTCCATCGAGCCTTTCGAACGGAATTTGAATCCGTCTTTTACACATAGCCGAAGCTATGGGTATTCGAGAGAACAATCCTAGTCTTTATTTAATTGAATTTAAGATTTTTCCCGTCGATTGATTGGACCGAAGTGCTCGGTCTCAGGTTGACATGTTGGCTTCTTGAGCAGATGCTTCGACGATGTCTGGGCATTTAATTAGTATTTAATTGGTGGATGGTGACTAGCAGTGGAATCCAGGATGCGCATTTCGTCCTATTTGGGACTCGTCATCTGGACGTACCTGCATTTCTCAGTGAGTGATGATGTTCCCACCGAGGCTCGAACCGTTGCACAAGAGGTGGCTTTCGTGGCCCAAGTGGTCTAGTGGATAACGCTTTGGCGTTGGAAACTATGGGCACTGGGTTCGAGCCTCGGTGGGAACATGATCACTCACTGAGAAATGCAGGTACATCCAGATGACGAGTCCCAAATAGGACGAAATGCGCATCCTGGATTCCACTGCTAGTCACCATCCACCAATTAAATCCTAGTCTTTGCATACAAAACAAGTTTGTTCTACCTTTGTCTCTCCCTTGCTTTGCCTAGGTGAATTCTAATCAAAACCCTCCCACCCTTTCTTATTTTCTTTTTCCTTCGTACTTTTATGATATTCATTTAAACTCTGATTATCTGTCCACTTCACCATTAGTATTACGTAACTCTTCAGATTTGACCAAATTTATTTATTGAATTGTCTACATATACACATATTACTACCTTTGTTATTCTTATCGCCACCTGCATAAACCTTATTATCAATATTTTGTTATCATTATAATCATCGTTATTAACTACGTTCAAAACATTTACCACATTATTATTATTATTATTATTATTTGATCCACAAAATCACCGTCGTTGGTTAAAAATTTTTTTATATAAATCTATGCAAATTAGAGTAAAACCTGAAGATCTAATTGAAAACAATATTGTTCGCTTATATATCTTGTTCTAATATTAAAAATGGGAATATTTAAAGATTTGGAATACATATATTTATGAAAAAATTGCATAAAAACTGTATAAAAGTATTACAGAGGATACCTTTCTTTCACATTTGAAAAAAATAGCTCTCAGTTTTAGGTTGAAGTATCAACAGATTATAATCCCATTGTGGGTAAAATTTATTTTGTTAAAGTCTCACGGTGTATGGTTATACAGTAATATTTCCTGAGCAATAAACTGTGCTCGAAACGTGGTCATCAGTAAATGTTACTGTATAATACTGTGGGAATTTATCAAAATAGATTTTACCCACAATGAAATTATACTCTGTGGTAGTTACTACAGTGCACAAGTTCTATTCTTATATCAACAGAGTAATTTAACCACATTCTATGTATGTAAATATTTAGGTCTTCCAACCCTAACAATAACACTAATCTTGCCTTAACCCAAATCTAACGTGAAAATATGCCTAAACTAACCCTAATCTAACTTGAACTAATGCTAATGTCGCCTTTAATAGGTTAACCTAACCCTAAGTTAATCTTTCCCAAACCTAAGGTGAAACTTGATAGAAATCCCATTCAATAGCATAACACTTCGATGAGGATATTTTATTGATGATGACAACATTATTTGCCAGGTTTCACTAACTTGCTTAGTGAGCGTTTCAAGGTCATTGGTGCGGTCCCACTCTATTGGAGTTGTGTGGTGCTTGAAGCTTAACTTGGATATATATATATATATATATATGGCTAAAGAACAATGGAACTTATCTATTCTTAGATTAAGAGAAAATATGAAAACATTTTTATATCATCACAGTCGTTATCGTCTAATTTACTTCCCTTTGTTATTCGATATACCATATAAAAATCACTATCATGTGCTTATATGTACATTTTGTCAAATTTAGTCCTTTCAGGTTTGACATCATAGTATGCTTTGTATGTGGTTCACTTCTGACTAGTGGGAGATGATGTTGCACGACCAGTCTGCACCCAGTGGTAGCTTCAAGATGGGACGTGAAGTGGCTGAGTGTGTTGACCACTTTACCTATTTAGGAAATTTCATCAACCCTAATGGACTAACTGTTGATGTAATCCAAGCATAGACACGAAAGGCTTTTGTTGCATTTACCTAATACTAGCATGGCTATAACATCTACCTATCTAAGAAAGCACGTGTATACTGGACAGCAACTCTTTTCTGGTAGCAAGACATGCCTATTGAAAGCAGAAGACTTGAAGTAGTTAGCTTTTTTCGACCATAGACGTTTGCATTCTGTATTTTGTGTTAAATGGTACTGTTGAGGTTAGGTGTATAAGGCTAGGTGAAGAATAGAAGTCAATCTGTGTGATTGTGAAGCTACATCGATTCAAATGACTAGGATATGTGGTTGACATACCGACTCGCCGTCTTCCTCGTTGAACAATGTTAGCTGATATAAGATTAGGTTGGCAAAGAGATAGAGATGGCCAAACCAAACAAAGCATCAATTCATGAATTTCTTGACTGCTAGTTTGGACCACACAGGGAGGTTTAAGATGTTTGATTGAGGTAGTGGAGATTCTAAGAGCCAATGGCTCAAGATCGTTCTCAGTGGTGCCGATGTGTTCACTTTCCGTGATCTCCCGGCCACATAAAGTTCTGATGTTTTTCCCATACATTCCCGCTCATTGTAGTTCTTCTGAATTTCTTGTTTTCTTTTCTCTGTCTTTGTGGGTTGTATGAAGTATGGTTACTTGAACTGTTACACTTCTTTGCAAAGTTCTACGTTGAAAACTCTGTCGATCAGGCTTGAGAAAATCACTTTAATATTCCAAAATATTGGCTACTTGAATAGGTATTTGGAATAGCTTTCGATTTCATTTTCATGTTACATTTTTGGTTGCAGTTATCGATGTTGTCTGAGACAAATGTTATGGTTTTTACTCTATTTTAATCCATTAAAAATACCAGCCACTGGCAATGTTGATGAATGCGTCACAGATGTAGGAAATAAGAGGAAGAACATACTTCCTATGCTTCAGTATAAACACCTATCACACGAATAAATACACTATGTCACTTGAAGCATTAACCTGTTATATAACTAGGTTTTTTCTATTTATAAGACAAATATTGACCGGAAGCCACTCATCAAAAATACATATTTATAACCACGGAAGAGTTTATTTTTCCTCCGAAATGCCTGTCTATGTCACTTATTTCCATATTTAACAGTTTTAATGCTAAAACTGGTAGACAAAACACCAGATAGCGCTACCTTACACAGCAGTGTTGTACTATCTTGCTTATAGAGTACACCGCAACCTTTATCAATGGCTTTTAGCGAATTTAATTAGAACTAGACGACTACAACGGTTATCTTTCAGCGATCGCTTCTTGCAAACCCTTATTAACCTAACGCTATACCATCACCATACTCTAGCTGTTTTCTTCTAGTATTACACTATTACTTTTGCGTAATATCACAGACAGTGCGTAAAAATGTTAATCTTTATGGTAGCTGATATCTATTGGAAATTAGTCGGCCTTTTATGAACAGAAATTATTAAATTCACAGGTGGACTAGAATCCGTAGTGTGAAGCAACCTAAATGAATGGCTGCCAAATTATCAGGATAAATAATTCTGGACACAGAATATGTTTAGATTTAATCCCAGCTTTTATTATTTTAGTTCATGACACAGGTCCAGATGAGATGTCTTCTGAAGAAAATAAGCGGTATGTAATAAATTCGATTGTAAGAGTGACAACAGTATCATACTGTTGTAATAATGTTTTCCTTTCGTAGTAATAACACTGTGTGTAACAGTAATTTATACTGCTCATCAATGTGAGCAGTTAGAGACCTCTACACTTATGCACACCATTAGAGTGCCATTAAAGTAATCTAAACGACCACTTCTAGCCTCCTGGTTTGTGCCCTTAACTAGTTTACCCGGAATGCTTCAGCTTATACAGCAGAATCAAGTCGAATCACTCGATTTCTGTCCAGCTAACTGAGCTGACTAGTTAACACTGCATCGAACGGGATAATAATGAGATTTTCATCAAAATCTGTTTATTTTTCAAGTATTCATTTCGATACAGTATTTACTGAAGGCAGTTTTTACAGACTTTTATTTTTCTTCTTACTCATTAGGCGTCATTTCTACCTGTATCGATAATTGTGCTTGGAGTTGGAGGCGGGAAATTCCCAGGTAGGTTAAAGCGTGTTATTAAGACAATGAAATAATTACTGTTTGCAATTCTACATTTTATATTCATTTTTATTAGCTACCAAACATTGTCATTAACAAATTTCCTGAGGTCTTCCTAGAAAATACTCTGGGGGTAAATTATGCAAAGAAATTCAAATTGTCAAATTATACGTTTTCAGATTATGAATTATTTGTTATCTCAGAATTAATTTATTATATTTATAAAAACAAAAACTGATGCATCGTGAAAAGCATATAAACTGGTAAAAATGCGAAAAAAACTGTGGATAAATATCACAATAACTGAGATTAAATCCTCAATTTAAAATTATCCAAATCAGAAGTTTCAAATGGAATATGCTATACACAATGACATTGGTCCGAATCTCCACAAAGCACAAAGCCTGATTATAAATTCCCAGCTCACTAGTAACTACTACATAGTTGTCCTGAAATTATGATGAGAAGCGATGGCCAGTGTGGTAAAGTGGATTTTTATGGATGGCACCGCTAGATGGAGGTACTATATCGCCAAATGACAGAGGTCAGAATACCTGGATTACTGGACTCCAAGTTAAAAGCCGAATAGTTAGCAGGCTGACAACTCATAAATCCTGTATTCGATTCCTGTTAGTGTTATGCGTGCGCGCCAATGAAGAGCACCAAACTAGGACGAAACGACCATTCAGTATTTCCTGGTTTCCAGTAGTTCTCTGAATGACATCGGTTTGCGCTGAAATCTATAATCAGAAATTCTGTAACCATTTGTCTATAACGCGTACGTCGATGGCACAGCGGTTAGGACGCTCGCCGACCATGCACATGGTCCGGGGTTCGATCCCCGGCCACTGACGCACTCCTTTGCCCCGCTAAACCAGAGATTAAAAGCTGTTAAAGAGGAAAGGTTGGGAACGAGGTTAGCAACGCCATCCTGTAAAAATAAACACTGCTACAGAAACTTCAAGCCTCCAGCTTGAAGCCCTATGTTCCACTGGGGACGTGAATGAATAAAAAAATTGTCGAAATCTGTTATTTTACTGTGATGCAAGAGGTTAGTCTTTCGGACAAAGGAACTGGACTGATATTACTTGATGTACCGAATAATGTATTGGCGGAGTGCCTTCTAATCATGGCAATGTCGATTACTGACACTGTCTTCCACTGAGAAAACGGAAATATTATTTATTAATACAAATATTAAGTACCTCAATTTTTTGAATTCAAGACTTATTTCCTCAAAAACAAGTGGCGAATTACACCAGAAAATATAGTTATTTATAGAACTTTTATACAGTATTAACCATGAGCAAGTGCAAAATGAAGAAAGTCATCTTCTCAGTGGTTAAAAGCGTCCATTCATTTCATTCCTTTGCGTTTCAAGCTTGAGCTTTGAAGTTTTGGTAGCAATGGTTTTATTTTCAAGGGATGAGATCGCTAGTCTCAAATCGAACTTTCCCTCTTTACACAGCTTACTACGAGCCTAGCGAGGTTTAGGAGAGTGTTGACCAGGAATCAAACCCCAGAACGCTTATGTCGTCGGTGAATACTCTACCGCTGAACAAACGGCGTGGTTAAAAGTGTACTAAGTATGCGTAAGACAAAATTTATAACAGGCTAAATGCGAATACTTCGTTGACAGCTAACAAAGAACATGTTGACCATGTTGTCTACATCTTGTACCATATAATTATTTGAAAATAGTCAAAGAATGCTACAGATTTGCATAAAACATCCAAAATGCCTAGCAGATCAGGGTTTTATAATTTTTCTGTAAAACTCTAAAAGACACTATTTTTAAGTAATTTATTAGTGAGTACTTTATTTCTTTAAATAAGCACTTTATAAGATTACACTGGACTTTTCCACATCTACAATAGTTTATAAGTTGACAGCAAAAAAATAATGTTTACAAGCTTCATTATACTGACATAGATGTAAACAGGAAATATGTAGTAAGATAAAAAGGATGACAAGTGTTGATGATAGAGTATTCTGAGTAAACAATCTTTGTGGAAATTCATCTCCAGTACTCTGGCTTGAAGAACTTCCTCTGTGCTGTTTTCTTGACAGATTGTAGATGTAACTGGACTAATCCTTCTTTGTTTACAGGCTTGATAACTTTGACTATCAATCATCTGAAATCATCAAGTGTAACTTCCTTATAATTCAGTTCAGTGTATGTATTATCTTCAGTGTAGTACATCTCTCAGAATATACAATACGTATTCTTGGTTCACTTGAAGAGCTGAGAATGACTGACACTGACAATCATCTGTGTTTCTCGCTTTTATGATATAACGTTGTACTTGAACTGAAACGTAACTTATAAAAACCATGACAACCTAACTCCACTGGTTTTGGAAACTTTTTACACTAAGAATACAAACAAACAATAACAAGATTAGATTGATAAAATATTAGCCTGGTTCAAAGAATAGGCACGTAACCAAAACAGGTTTTCATCAACAGCTGACTTCGCCCCATAATGAAGACCGAATGGCCATAAGTAATAAGTAGCAAATAACAAATACCGTGTTGCTCAGCAAATTCGCTGAAGAAAATGGAGATGGATGGAACATACGCTGAGAAGACTCTCGAATAACATCACGTGTCAGTTCCTCTAGTAGAAACCAAGTGGTAGACAATGAGTTAGGTAACTTAAAGATCCCCATTCAGTCATATAAAAGAAAAGAAGGCGTTCAGCGAAGAGACTGTTTTCGGTGAATTCATTCACTAAGCTGTACAGTCGCATTTATATACAATTTTGTTTGTGTGTGTGTACATTAGAGTCAGGTATATCGGCCGTACTCAGAGCTCGCTATCCAAATGCGTCAACGAACATTTACCTTCATGGTTTTATAAAGGAGAAAACCGACGCCCAGCAGCTCTATCCTTGAACATTTGATCGAATCTGGACACCAAGTCAAACCACAAATAAACTTCAAAGTTATCTACAGAATAAAAGGCAATCTTGCTAAAAGTGTACGGATCAAACCTCTCCACATCGCAGAAGCAATGGCAATTCATCTGCTAAATCCTGAACTCTGAGTGCAAAAGAAATTCGTTCATTCATTAAATCTACAATGGACATAATCTTTATTAATTTCAGTCTTACTAATTGTATTATTTTGTCTTTTGCATTATATTGTTTCACATCTTCATTTAGATTATTCTCTACCCCACCCTTTTGTAATCTCTACCCTCATTAACAATGTTGCTAACTCGACCCACGTCCAATTTCTAGTCAACTATATTACGTCATCCGATTAACTTACCTAATTTTCAACTGTATTATTCTCTACCCCCACCCTTATTTAATTTTAGCCACCACTCATTAACACTGTTGCCAACCTGACCTACTCTGAATTCTACTCAATTGTATTACGTCATCCAATTCACTTAATCAATTTTATTTTCTATCTAATTAACGTTTGTTTCCAAACCAAATAATACTTATATCACGTAATTATCTAAACTTTATAAATCTAATGTACACACGCAAACAAAATTGTATATAAATGAGTTAGGTGTCCTATGGCGACATGGAGAAAATCGTACGATGGGATGAGAACTTATGGACAGTCATGGAACAAGCTAACGAGGACTGCAGAGAACAGTATGTAATGAGGGTGTACTGCTAAAGCTTTATGTTCCAGTCGGAACCCAAAGGAATACTAATCATAATAATCTTGGTGATGGTCTATTCCTCATTCATTTCATGACTTTTAAATGGAAATACCCAAGTTTTAACCAGTTAATCATGAATTTCACTCTCATTCCAAATACCGAAGTTTAAGTACCAAGATGGCAATAGAAAATCTTCACACAATATCTATAGCTGAGTAGGAGGAGGGGAGAGGATTGTTAATTGAATACCACACTGTTTAGGATCGTGTTAAATCAGATGTAATAAGTTAGACTGTTAAATGACGCTCTCTTGCTTTTAATTCAGTATGATTATTGTCGACTTAAAACGACTTGGCTAAGCACCTAGTGTTGTATTAAACGGATATTTATAAAACACTTGTTCATATGAAAGCTGAAAATAGCTTTTGATACTTGCAGTGAAGTTACGACCTCCTTGAAAGCTATGACATTTAGCTGGTGGAGTTCCAGGTTATGAACCTTTAGGTTACTGGTTCGAATCCAACCACAGTGCAGATCTTAATTTCACTAATTACCATCCTTTACAACAGCCTTTTTCTTCGCGCATTCCTTAGCGTTCCTAGTGGAACATAGGGTTTAAAGCTTGACGTCTGAAGTTTCAGTGACACTGCTATTGTTTTTCCACGGCGAGGTTGCTGGCCTCATGCCCAACCTTCCCCGTTTACCTGGATTGCTACCGACTAAGCTAGGTTCAGGAGTGCATTGGCTGTGGATTGGACCCCGGACCGAGCGCATTTTAATGAGTACTCTACCAGTGTACCACCGACGCAGAACCATTGGAACCAGGGAATACTGGATAGCTGCTTCATCCTAGCTTGGAATTCATCCGTAGAACACACCCATCAGAGTTCGAACACACAACCCTCCAGTTAAAGGACAGGCTCGTACATCATTCAGCTACTGGCACCCACTACAACAGTGACATCTTTAAGCAATGAAATATAAAACTATTAAGAAATATTTTTTATGTATGAGTACAACTTCTTAGTGCATATTTGTCTCTTAAATTTGAATTATTAGAAATGGAAATTTTGGATCAAGATTTTGGTTTGTTAAAAGTTGGTCAAGAACAAGCCTGCAGAGATAATGTACAAGTAAGTATGGTGTTAAATGTATACTAATTTCTTTGTTATTTAATTGTCAAGCTGCTGTTATTGTTAAAGTGAAATACAAAGCCTTTTAGATACTCTTCTAAAATATTAGTTTGTACATTTATCATCAGTAAAAGAATTACTGGGAACCGTAGATTATCTCAGTTTTTTAAATGCACACAGTTTTGCATACTCTCAACTTCCACAAGAATCGTTACTTAGGAAAATGAATAACAGTTCAATAATGGCTAGCAGTTCTCTTGCGTTCCATGTGGAACATAGCACTCCGAAATTGAAGTAGGGAGTTATAATAGCAATGGTGATTATTTTTTACATGGTAAGGTTGCTAGCCTCACTCTCAGCGTATCCTCTTTGCTGGGTTTTAGGGGTATGTCGTCAGGGGATCGAACCCCGGACCATATGTGTAGTTGGCAGGCATTCTGTCACTGAACCGTTGTCTCGGTTTCCTACTAGAGAAGTTTTCAAGATTTAAAATACGGAAATATATAATCGGTGCTCATCTGTACTTGTCAGCAAGACTCATTTGCAACGTCGAAGGAAGTGATGTCCCGTGTCACTGAGTCTTGTAGTAAGTGAAACTACCAAGGAACTATTTGAGTTCACCTTTGACCTTCTAAGGGACTGTAATGATTACATTGAGTGGTTACTGAAGAGCAACCAACGTCGTGTCTAGCTGTTATTGCTGATGTCAATTTCAAAATGCTTTAAGATGACAGACCACCTAGTTTATTAAACACACTATAAACTTGGATGATAGAAATAAATACATAACACTGGTTAATTGCAAAGTAGCCAGTCAATGGGGCCAGTGTGAGTAAGTGGCCCTGATTTTCACGATCCACTCGTTCAGTGGAGTGTGTTCATTACCACGCCTGGATATAAGTTTACGAACATAAGAAATGCCAACTATGTTTCGTACTGTTAGATAACAAAGTAGTTATGATGAAATCCTTGGGGATAACACTTAGGCATTTGAAACAATAGTTGCAGAGTTCCAGTCTTAGTGGGAACGCCATCGCTCACTGGAGATTGCAGATAAATTCGACTGATAAGCCCCAAATTCGGCGAAACGCGCATCCCGAATTACAAATAAAGTATTTACACACAAATGATTTTCAATTTCCCATTTGCACAAGAAGGTAAGGTATCAAGTCAACTCACGGTTCACATCAGCTAGAAACGATTTACCTGAAACAGATTTCTCAAGTATCAGGCTATCAGCTATAGTCACTGTGTGCTGGCTTGCCATACACGGCTAAAGATGGTTCCCAGGATCCAATGACCCATTACCTTATTCTTAGTATTTACCTCACACATAAAATAATGGAAAGGCAAAATCCAGAATGACCGTATTACATCCAAAGGAAGGGATAGGAACAAATAACTACTTTTCTATTCCAAGTTTATAAATAACTCTTAATTGCTTCCTTTGTGCTTTGTTTCTCTCTTTGTTTACTAGTTTGTACAAATGCGTCGATTTTTACGTTTAGCAGCCGATGGATCAGACAGTATTCGTTGGAGTAAAGTAGCCCTTGCTAAAGAAGTCTTAGCTGAATTACCTTCACAGGTAAATAAATGTACACACACTAAGTTTATATTTTTAGACGTTTCAGTAATATCCTAATATACTTATGTAATTTATTTATTTATTTACTTTCAAGAGTGTGTACTGCACTCAAGCTAGACATTTCTATTGTTTTGTTAGATAACTTTTTGGCCTGGAGGAGATAGCCACTTTTACCCGCCCACACACTAACGTAACTCTGTATAAATACTTTTCCGTTGTTATTAAATGATTGGAGGCAATTGGCAGGAAGTCTTGAACCTAGGTTTTGTGCTTGTTGGCACTCGTCAGTCTGCACTAAACAAATGACTAAATGCATGAAACTAGTTACTTGATACCAAGTGCCCTATCAAAGTATCTAAAACAATCCTAAAGTAGGTCAATCGCCAGTCTGAATAACTATGTGGTAACGCCTCTGACTGTAGAGCTGGGTGACACACGTTTGAATCACAGGATGGATATTAGTCCCTTCAATGTTCTAGATATGCCTTGCTGACAAGTGCCAACAAGAAGGAAACCTTGCTCCAAGGCTTCCCGCCGGCGGCCTCCAACCAGCTAGTAATAACAACGGTCCAGAGTGCACTGTGATGGAGAGCCACCTAGCATGGTGGCCATATTACAAAATCATTACTCTTCTTATTAATAGCTTAACGCTACAACACTTTACAGAGTTGAATCACAGTTGTCATATACCCTGAGATAGTGAAAATTGCTTGCGTCTGGAAACCTACTTTGAGCTACTGTATACTAATCAGCAATGTTTTCTCTCCAACTTGAGAATATTCTCACTCTGATGGCTTCATACCAGCAGCTTTTACCTTCGTGGTTCTGATTATAAGCAGAAAGCGCTAAAGCAAATTAATCTTCTGATACATCTCTCTAACAACTTGAAATGAAAACCAAATCTGGACTAATTATGACCTCCTTCTATCCAACTTCCAACGTGGAAGCCTCCATTACTTTCGTCCTCTTTAGAATGCTGGAGGCAGCAAACATGTTTTATGCCTATTTTGAGTCTACCTAAGAACCCATAAATATTCAAACACCAATCTGATTCCTTATTTCAGTAAACCTCATCCTAAATACATAGTTGAATTCTCATGCACATAGGAGACGATGTGTACACTTAGTAGAACAGTGTAGAAATTTTGTGTTTAAAGCTAATTTTTTTTAGAATCATCCGACGAAAGTATAAAAAATTAACGTTAAAAATGGAAACTCTAAACTTTTCAATCCCACTACCTATTCTACGAAATTATGTTTTCCACAACAATAAAAAACCGGTAACCACACACTGAGTACAAGTATAAATATACGCTCAGCCTAATATACCCAGGAGATTACAGTAAAATAGGTGAATGGTTAATTTACCCTAATGATACTTTTAGTTTACATTAATAATATCTATGTCGCCAGACCAAAACTATGTTTGTCTGTACATTTAGTATGTTAGGAAAGTAAAAAGCATATTTGAACTACTGTTTCAGTTATCAGTAGTAAGATGCCACACGGGAATATATATATTTGATTGGCTTCAAGTTCGACCACAAACTAACTAGAGAGCCATTGAAAAGCAAGAACTCTTCAGCATTACATACCCTCACACTATCGGAGTCACACCCACGAATTCCAGGTTACTAGGCGAGCTCATTGACTATTCAGCTACAGTTATGACAAATGTGAAATGAGCCGTAATCTTTATAAGTACTCTAATGATATTAACTGCCTGGAAGAAGAATTTATAGGAGCAATTTCAAGACATTTATTTCAGAAGCTATGAGGATTACAAGGTACTTTGACAAGCACTATAATGCATACCAAATTAAAGGCAAATTTAATTGTGATGATGGCTTTCAGTGGTTCTCTAATTGGCATCTATCCGTGGACAAACTTGAAACAAATTAATTCCCCACAAACTAACTCCTAGAAATTAACCCGACGTTAGCTAGTGACTGGCTTTAGGACGAAGGTGCCTACAGTCCTCGGGATAAGTTGTAATCATTTAGGATCCATCCGTCGGAAGTGAAGACAAATACTTGCCGATAATATTGGCTGCCGTCAGTCATGCTAAAATCACCAATAGGTAGAAGTCAGAATTCGTGGATCAGCCAATCAGGCTGGTCGTAGTGGTAGGATGGTCTATGAGCTGGTCATGTAAACGGAAGATCCTGGGTGGATGCATATTATCGATGAGTCCTATGCTGGGACGAAACACCCAAACTGACTTAGGTGAGAGTGCCGAATCAGTTGAAACCACCCAAACTCTGCCTTGCAACTATGACTAACTTGTATTGCCTTGAATCAAATTCGTGATTTGTAAATTAGTCCAAGATTTATCATTTACGCGCTTCGACATGAAATTTCACTATAATTTCATTTGAAAACTGTAAGTATCCATATCGCAATATGTCATATGCTTGGTAAACTATTGGTCAATGTGAGTAACATCCAACTACTTATATCAATCAATAAGTAGTATATGGCATCCTATAGTTATGCTTCCTTTCCTCATAGTCATTCATGGTATGAAACAGATCCCATATTATGATCTAAATAATTTCTGTCTGCAAAGGAAACTGCACTGGAATTTCACCTCAGACTACGTAAACTGAAAATGGCAAATTAATTTGCAAACTGCTGGTTCGATTCATATTTTAATGAATTCAATCTTATTCTCAAAACTAACTAACTAACGCAGTCCTATACTGGTTTATATATTATCTTATTAATCGATGTTCAACACTTCAATTTCTACCTGGCTCTCATGGTAAATAAAAGAAAGTTGTAATGTCAGTAAAAAGTTTGAGCATTATAGAATAGATAAAATAAATTATAATCATATTTCAATAGTTTACACACAATGATAAGTTTTTGTTCTTGGTAATATTTCGAGCAAAATAACCACCCGTAATCACACCAACTGCTGGAATTGTTTTGTTTTTGATTCACACATCTATGATTTGAGTACTCATACATATAGTTCCTTTTTTTGTCCATTCGTTTTTGTGTATCCAGCATTATATTCCAAGTTGTTCATAGTTGTACTGAGTCACCCTTGTTACATGTATCCGGTGTGACTTTAATGAATATCGATTCTGTTATCAGTCTCTCCTTCCATTTGCTCATATTAGTTTTTAGAATACAAACATTGTTCCAATCGATATTGTGGTTCTTGTCCCATGTATGTACAGCTATGAATTTTTTTCTAAATTGTTGTAAGCTTGTGTTCCTATTGGATGACCTTTAGTCGGTTGGGCGTTTATGTTCATTCACTCTTATTTTGAGTGATCTAGACATTTGACCCACATATTTAGTTGGACACTCGGCACAAGATATTGTGTAAATTACATTATTTTTATCCATCATTTTTATTGGATCTTTTAATTCACTGAAAATACCCATTGACTCATGAAAAAAATAAAAGATAAATTCAGCGAAGAAAATTTTCTTTATCGACGAAATCATCTTCAGAGGCTGTAAAGTCGTATTTATACTTACCGAAAATGTATAGTGGTCTATTATTGAGTAATATGGGGTGACGTAATCGATACAATTACTCAGAAGTGGCTTTAGAAGTAGAAATTAGAAGTTGTAAATTACGTGGTACTCAATGGCACAAAGATAGAAATTTGATAAGGTTAAAATTGCCATTGAGTGAGAATAAAGGTATTTGAGTGTCAATTTAACAAGTGTGAAGAGGGTGTGAAAATGTACAAAAAGGAACATATGAGAGTGATAATAATGAATTAATTATTAAAGCAAAAGCAAACTAAAAGTAAAATTAAAAAAGAAAAGAAAAAATCAAAATTTTTTACAGGGGATGACTAATGAAGAGGTTAAGACCAAGGTAGAATAAGAGACTGGACAAACTTTTTCTGTATACAGAGTTCGGGGTTGTATTGACGAATTACCAGCGCCTCCGCCATACACCAAAGCAGAAACCTGACGCCCTTTGATTGATTTTATTTTGAATTAGATTCGTTGGTTTAAACGTGGTGGGAATCCCAATATTTTTGAGGTTTCTTCAAATTGCCTCTGATGTACCACTTTTGCATGGTATTGTGATTGTTTCTATGCCGTCCTCCTCCTTTCATTCTCTGGTTTTACCCTCTTTTTTTCTCTTCTTTATATTATCTCTGATAAGTTCTTTTTGGGAGTTATTGTCAATTAACATTTTGAATAAGACTTTTATTTCTTTTCGTTGGTCATTTGGTGTTGTTGTAAGCCTACGTATTCTGTCTGAAAGGTCTTTTATTAACCCTCATTTTACCAACAGTTGGTGTGAACACGGACGGTAATTTTGCTCAAAATATTACCAAAAATAAAAACTTATCATTGTTTGTAAACTACTGAAATATAATTATAATTTAAAAGAAAGATTCCTCTGGTTCATCAGACTTTAAATGTCAATTAGTTACGACAGTCAGTATGCCACAAACTATAAAGTTATGTAATTGGTAAATTAAATATATCTAATAGGCTACACTGATAATAATTACATATAATGCTTCCACATATACTTGTATCACCTTTTTGTATAAATCCCATTTCAGATATTAGAATATTTGGACAAAAATCATCTAAGTCCACGACATCTTGTACCAAGACAAGCAGAAAAACTGAGTGATTTAACAAATCCTGACTGGTGGAGAAGATTCACCCAACCGCTATCTGAAAATCGATCTAGTCCGTTGAACAGCTTTTCAGAAGAAGAAAATGATGCTTTTCAACGCTTACAATTGAATGACAGAGATAATCAACCATCATCGTCAAGTAGTCAGTACCCCTCATCTAGTTCACCATTCAGTTCTCAGTCATCAGAACAATATTACAATAAAAGTGGACAAACACATACCTCTTCAGAAGGGAATAGTTCTCCGTCTAATGAAATGAAAAGTCATTCAAGCATAACAGCTAATCAACAATCACCTAAAAAGATGACTGCACCACTCTATCGTCAAATGTCATTAGGCGTAGCAAAACTCTCTGAAAATTATCCGCCTAAAACTCGTTTTCGACGATTACCGAGTGGATTAGAGACAAGTGTCAGTTCAAGTCGTACTTCATCAACTCGATCAAATGCTTCTGGTAGTAGTACAAAATAAAAGTGCATTTTTCCTGTCTGTCAATCAAAACAAAAACACATATAAAGTACAAATGTATGTATTATACTCTGCTTCATCATCACTTTTATCAATGTAGACGACAGAATTCAGACAATGTCTTTTTTCTAAAACAAAAAAGCCTCTCAATGCATTTTTCAATATATATCTGTATGGGCTACATACATCCCAATCAAAAATCTTTACCAATTTTTACAACTACTGATATCGTTATTAGTAGGTGGAATTGTTATTATGAAATAATGAACATTACAACTCATATTGGTTTTCATCATGGCGTTTAGTACTGGATTCTTCAAAGTGCCTCTTTTTTTTCTAGATTAACTGTTTCATGCACAAGAATAAATGACAAACTTTTCACTTCTTATCATTTAAAATTTCACAAAACGAAAAGCTCTGTAATTTAAACAAATTATTAGATAAACTAAGGCGATCCGTTAAAGCTGAATACAATTGTATGCTGAAATAAAAAGGTGTGTGTGCTGAAGCCAATCATGGAAATTCCTTCCTGAATTCCCTTTTTGCAACTTTACCATTTCCTACAGTAGTTTAATGAAACGAAATGACGGATAAATGAAATAACTGTGGCCTTCTCATTGATTATAGCAAAAAGAGGGGATAATTAATAACTGAGATTTATCACACCAGAGAGAGGTTTAAGTCCTAGCAGCATTGTATTAATGTCAGCATTGAACAATGAATGTGAAGAGTGTTTATCACAAAAACAATTGAGCGATAAAATATCCCTATTGTTTAAATACATCCTTTAAAAATAAGTAATTAAAATAAAATAAAAAGAAAAAAACTTATTTTAACAGTTTAGTAAGAGGAAAAAACAACTATAAAACAGATTTAAGAAGATTAATTTTGTACATTATTCAGTTGAAAATTTAAAACAAAACAGAGTGTTTTGTTTTACTGCATTACTTCCTTTATAATTATTCTGTGTGAAATTTTAAAAATGGCTACGAAACAAAAGGTTTATGGTTCTGATTACTTTTTTTTCCTTTTTATTCTTCTTTTCTCATCTCTGCTTTCGTCTCCTTTTTGTTTCATTTTTTCTAAATTTGAATTAGATTTCTAAGTTTTGGTTTTCATTATACTTTTTATGAAATAAACTAGATTACTTAAATAACTAAAAAAGGAAGCCTTTTGTTTCTCTGTCGTCATGGTGAAGCAGTATTCTTATTTCTTGAGCTTTAGACACTGGCTAGCTGAGGAGTTGGAAGTTCGTTTTCCGTTCTTATATAACTTCATCAGATAGGTGTATTTGAATACCTATGATTGATAGCACTATCGAATTGGCGGTGGAACCAGTATTCATATCATCGAATCGCACATACTTATTCAATAGGTTACCGAGTTTAGGGGGAATATACCTTCTGCAGAGAGTACTAGTTACTATCTGTCACTTATAGACTACTTTGGGGTAATTGTAAACAACAAGCACTGGTTTACATTTACAGAAATCTGGAATCAAATACTAAAATGACATACCTGATCCTGAAATCAACAATACCAGATTTCCCTGACACAAAAGTAACTATTAAAAGTACAAACCATTGTGGATAAAATTTATTTTAATAAATTTTCACAGTGTTATACAGTAATATTTACTGATGAACACGTTTTGAGCACAATTTATTGCTGCTCATGATTATATCAAGGTATTACTCTAACTTTGTGTATATGATTCCACTTTTTCCCATCTCGATTTGATCGATAGTAGTAATTTCCATATTTTCGGTATGAGTGATAAGTCATTCCTACTTCACCTGTTGTTTAAGTGTAGATTCTATGGTCCTCTCTCCACCTACCTATATTAATTTTTAGAATCTTGACTCTGTCTCACCCTATTGTATGGTTGTGTGTTAATGCATGCAGTGAAATCGCTGAGCTCCTTTCTAAATTGTTTATCTCTGCGGAGTCAGTCATTCTAACCGCCGCTAAATTCTTATGTCCTGACGATCTGACTACACCCGATCTAGATCGGGAGTGCAATAGGAATGGCTCATCACTCATACTAGAACTATGGAAAATACTACTACCAATCAAGTCAAGCGATGGAAAATAATGGAATTATATAAACGAAGTTAGAAAGTTGTTTGAGTAGTGCCTTGATATGATCACGAGAAGCAATGAATTGTGCTTGAAACGTCATCAGTAAATACTACTGTAAAACACTGTGAGACTATCAGAATAAATTTTCTCTGCCACACTGTAGAAGTCATACTCTTCTGTCAAAAGTACAAACCCTTGATTTTGAAAAATGTGTTTACTTACACTATGAAGCATCGTTCAGTTGTATACACATCAATCTCCAAATGGTAATCAATGTATGTACAAAGTATATCGACCGATATCTATCCATCATGCGGACAGTATGGTCACCACATTACGCTATTTCACAATGTAACATTATGTAACTCTATAAAAGTCAAAGTACACCTATGAGCGACAAAAAAACATTATGTGATATTGTTCAAAGGTCAAACCTCAGGTAAAGGTTGAAAAATGTTCATTTGAAAGAATGCCAGATAAACAAAGGTTCAAAGTAATTTGAACCACTTATTCCCTTTGCAGATTTAAATACAGTAAAAACAACAGTTGGTGCAGAATAAGTTGGTAGCATCGTTTCAGCTGAGTGCAGCCTAAAGAAATTACTAAGTTTATTCTCAGAACAATAATAATAATAACAGCTTTATTCCAAACAGTATTTGTGGTACAGGTATGGAATTTTCAGCGTGCATTACAATATTTCATCTAATTACCTCATAAATTTTACAAGATTTTAAAAACAAAAAGAAACAACAATAAAAAAATTGATAAATAAAAAGAAATTAAAAAGAACAGCATTGCATTCACATTTTAAACAATGTACCACAGGATATGAAATATAAAATTAGTGTGTAATAGAATATGTGAACAACAATATAATAGTAACACAGAAAGGAAAATAAAAACTAATGGGAACTATTTGTTAGAGTGCCACAGTTAGTTGATCGTGTCATACCTAACGGATTTCTCATCACATAACAGCTGTGCCAGATAAGCTATTGTGGAGTTTTGTAATTGGTAGTCCTGGCATATAGGTTCCTATAGTTGCTTCTAGTTCTACCAGATGAAATGCAAGGAGAGGGCTGCGTATAGAGAGGATGTTCGGGGTCTGACAATATAGTATTCGCTAGCTTCTTACATGACATTATTTGTCTATCCACAATAGTGTTAACCATTTGGTTTAACATACTATCAATTGTGACATGATGTCAGCTGATAGGAGACTTCATAAACTTAGTAAACAGTGCTCAGAAATTATATTTACACAACAAAAACCAAATGCTCGGATACAGTGGCAAAGGAGTTAAGTAATAAAAACAGTAGGTGGATAATGTGATGAGAGTAACTAATAAGTTGAGTAACAATGTGATGAGTTTAACTCAAACCATAGAAACAAGAGGCAGGAAAGGTCATACTATATATAAGGGGAGACAGGCTAAAGCCAAAAAATACCTAATCAAATCAAAGAGAGAGAGAGAGAGTAAAGACATTCAGTCACCTGGGCAAGGAAAGACTGTTAACTGCTTCTTTCTCAACATATAAATCAGGTTTCGGTCGTTTGGTAACAACTAATATGCCATCTTGATTAGGAATGAGCCGTTTTTCTGCTGATTATTTGAAAAGATTTCATCGTGTCCACAAGTCGCCTGACACCGGCACAATCATAAGCTTTTATCCCCTTAAGACTTTGGCCTTTTGATACATGTGTACCCATCTTTCTGTTCTCCCAATGCGAATGCTACCTCAGGAAAATTTTTTTATCTTCACGTTCCCCACTGGAACATAGGGCTTCAAGCTAGTGGCTTGAAGTTTCTGTAGCAGTGTTTATTTCACAGGATGGGGTTGCTAGCCTCATGCCCAACCTTTCCTCTTCACCAGCATTATTTCTGGCTTAGGGAGGTAAAGGAGTGCGTCGGCCGGGGATCGAACCCCGGACCATGCACCTCAGGAAATACTTAACATATAATATACGACCTTAAGTAGTTATATTGGAATCAAACGAATGAAATGCCAACAACTTTATCAAAGTACACTTATGATGAAACGCAGTACTATTAGCGCAATTAGGTGTAAGGTAATTTAATAGTACTACTTACAAATACTTAGTAGGATAAAATTTTAAGCATAAAAAAGTGAAAATGTCATCACACATTACGGAGAAGTACGAATAAACTGATCGATCACCAGCAAAATGAATACTGCTTGCTCATGTTGAAATAATTCAACATTATCTCCAGTTTTTTAGTGCAAATCCTGCAGTTCAATCAAATGAGACAAGAAAAAAAGAGAAATTTCCAGAATTAAATCATGCCCATTTTGCAGCTATGCTTTGCTGATGAAACTTCAGATCAAAGTATCCAGCCTACGGACTCCAATTACCTATAACTGTGTGAATGCTCTATGAACTTAGTGTATAAAGTCCACCGTCCATACATGCGTACTATGATAAGAAAATTTGATTGACAAAATGACATTAATTTTGTCAAATATGCTGACGACCTGACTGTATCTTTGCCTATCAAATGTCAAAGCGACTGCTCTAAACTTAATGGCTTTCTGTCAGAAATCAGCCAGTGGTCCAAGGAAAACGGTCTTACCTTAAACCCCTCCAAATGCCAAACAGTCAATTTCACCTTTAGGCATAAATCTGTCCTGAACAAACTGGTTAGCTCTCACGAGGTGTGCAACATAGATGGCACTGAAATAGAAACCAAGTCGGAAATTAAATACCTAGGTGTCATTCTATCTGCTGATCATTCCTGGTCGTCTCATATCTTAGCGATTTCTAAGAAAATATTCCGTCTTACCTTCTACATCAAGAAGTTAAGACATTCTGGTATAACCCAACCCTTACTCCTACAATTCGTTCACTCTCGTATTCTGCCTATTATTCTCTATTGTTCCCCCTTAGTTTTTCCCGGGCTACTGAAGAAAGACTATACCTTATTACGCAGGATGTTAAAGGTTGTCAGCAGAGTAAGCAACGTGCCACGTAGTCAGCTTGTTAGTATTCTGGCTGACAGGCACATGGACTCATGTGAAAAATGAGCCAAATCCATTTTATCTAACTCACACCACCCTCTTCACTTACAATTCTCCCCTTGCATCTCATCAGGCAGAACCAGAAGCCAATATAGAAAACTATATGCTCGCACTAGCAAGTACAAAAACTCAACCATACCCTACTTAGCTCGTGTTCTGTGCGATAAAGAAAGCATTAGGCGTGACACCTATAATTCATTAAATAGTCAGTAGAACAACTGAATCTTGTCTTTCCAACGCATATCATTTATAGGTACAACATTTTCTTTCTTTCTTTTCCTTTTCTCTCTCTTTTTTTTCTGTTATGTGCTGCTTTGTTTCTTTCTTCCGCCTACGCCAGTAAATATGATAGCACCTACTTTTCTAACACTTTCAAACACTGTTCAACTTTGGCTTTGCTGCCGACATGCCAATGTGTTGTTGTCATAATGAACTGAGATTTCCTTAATCTACGTAGAATTTCAATTATTGATAATGTACTAACTGCATGTAATACTTTGGTAAAAATGCTGAAAATTCCATTCTGTATTACAAGCACTGTTTTGGAATAAAGCAAATTATTATTATTAATTAAGCTTAGAATAAAATCTGAGTACTCCTATTAGAGAAGCTCTGGATTGAACGGCGAAACGTTCAGAAAAATCTTGTTTTGATTTCTTCTTAAACACAGTGGGATTATTTTAAGTAATTTATAATACATATGAATACTGTTTAGTTTTTGAAATAATTATAACACGAAGAACCATTGAAAATCAGGGAGTACTGGACAGTCGTTTTGTCCTAGTTTTCACCTCATCGGCAGTACGCACCCACTAGGGTTCGAACCCAGGACTTTCCAGTAACAAGGCAAGTTCATAGACCATTCAGGCTAGTGGTCGCGCTAAGACCAAGAATTAGCAAAAGTCGGGTCCCAGTGACTAAGTGGTCCACGAGC